AGTGAAATCTGTCATGTGGTCTAATTTTGCTAAGTGCAAAGAAGAAAAGTAGGCTTCATTTTTTAACGCCATTTCAATTACACTTAAAATACCATCAGCTTTTGTGCACATAGGTGCCAAAACCACAAACACAATCAGAATAAATTAATAATCTGTACTGCTCTTCCAGTTCTTGTGTTTAGATCAAAATATTCATAGCTAGAGAAGTTGTGACCATCTAATACAAGTTTATCTATTAAATGTGCCTGGCTGCTGACTGTGGGGGCAGGAGACTGCTTAGACAGAGAAACATTTACATGTCTTATGCTTCAAAGTTGCTGTTTCAGCAGGTTTCACTGTATTAAGGGGTAGCAAAAAAATATCAATGTCAAAAAAATTTTGGGATTGTATATTAGTTTGATTATTTTGTCGTTACAAGTTTTAAAGATGGCTTGTAATGAAAAAAAACAATACAATACTTGTGATATGCAATCTTAAAACATTCATTTTTATTAGAATCTGGATGGTGTTTCTAGATACTGTCCGAAATGTGAAACCACATTTTGCTAATACAATGAAAACATCAATACTTATGACACATTCAAAGAGCAACCCTACCTCAATCTACAATGCCCTCCCGAAGTAAAACAAAAATTACTAGGAAAAAAATACAATAAAGAGGAAATATAAAAAAATAAATTAAATATTTAATATAAGAGAAAGACAAAGCATGTGTGTAAATACAAAAGAAACACTAGGAAGGAAAAAACAACAAAAATGATAATACATATTTTACAAAATTAATAGGATTGAGAAAAAGTGAGATTATCACTACCCTTCAAAACAAATATAACCAATCATACTCAACCCTTATTTCTTTAATAGAAATGTAGTTTATTTCTTGAAATAAATGTTACATTTCTTTTAGCACAAAGATTCTCCAAAAATATAAAAATACAAAAAGATACAACTATCCGATTACCTTTGGCTTTACGTTCCTCTTCTCTGAGTCTTTCTAAAACTCCTTGTTCTTCTCCTACGAACATTCTATCAATCATGACCAATTCTGAAGTATTTACTTCTCGCTATAAAAGGGGAAAAATTGAAGTTTTGAATTATTAGAGTTGAAAGAAGAAGAAGTAGAAAGATTCAACCATACACATAAAATATAAAGCGCACAATAAACAAATGCAATAATTGTAAACCTAAGAGGGAAGTTATTAACCATGTGCATTTCCACAACAGAAATCTTACTACATTGGAAGCATACAAGCTATAACTCTGAGCCCCAAAATTAAAGTTATTTTTGAGACCTCCTGAGGTTTGTGATTTGTTAAAATCATTTGGGCAATGCAAACTAGTAGTTTATCAGATGGTATTTTGCTGTGACCCAACTGTTAACAATTACATTAAATCATTTCACATTCACAGTGAAGGATAACGTTGCTAAGTTGAAAGCTCACATGACTCGGCAATTACCACATTTCTTTGTCACACATTTTCAGCAGGAGCTGTGTGTCATTATTAACATCAAAGCAAGAGTGAGACTTTTGTGTTACAGAATAATTATATATCAATAGCTATGATGAGAAGTGTTGAACATCAAAACTTCATTATTTGCAAGATTGCATGTTAACTGTTTTTCCAATAATTCATCTGGTTAACTCAACCTTTCTCTAGCAAGGTGCAACAATCTGCAGTTTAAATAACATAACTTTTATTTGCAAACAGAGTTATTTAGTGAAGTTTAGCATGATATACTTCACGTTAATTACTTACTGTGCTTTCCATCAGAAGCAAATAATGATATTTGTTCATCATCTGTCGAAATTTATCAAGAAGATGCTTTGCTGTTGCTTCAAATATTTCATCCGCTTTCTCCAGGTCTTGCTGGCTCAATACTTTTTCATTGAAAACATGGTAGCGAATTAATCGCTTGCAGGCATCACTAGTGCTTATAAATGGTGATTTTGTATCCGGAACAGAAGCACCTGCTTGATCCGTTTTTAATTGTTGTTCAATTCTAGGCATAAAGACAGGAATACAGTGCTTTTTAAAACTGTGCTTTAATGCAAAGTAACATACTATTATAGTAAATAATCAAACAAGGCAATACTGCATAAAGAATAAAACAAAGTACTTACAAATCACTTCTGCTAATTGTTGGTCGTAATGGGCTACTAGCTGGACGCTTCACGCCTCTATTTGGTGTTCCATTTGCAGGAGGTGACACTGGAGCTCCTACAGTTTTGTTCCCACTACCAGTGTGTATATTGTTACCACTGGTGCCACCGTTGTTACTGTTACCACTGTTAATATTATTACTACCAATATTATTACTAGTATTATTGTTATTATTAATATTATTATTATTATTATTATTGCTGTTAGATACATAAACACTCTGAACTTTATTGCCCGATGATTTACCACCAGTTGGTGAGAAGGTGGATTGCGTAATTTTGTTAGGTGCAAACACAACCTGAACTTTGGTATTATTAGGTGAAAAAACTGGGTTTGTAGTCTTATTCCCACTTGGAGAGATACTGCAGGGCAATTTTCCAGGAGATCCTCCAACATTTGGCGACACTTCACAAGGCAACACTGTCTGTGTTCCAACCTAAAAAGAACAACAAAATCAAAATTGTAGTTACATGCATCATAATAAGGAGTATTTAAAACAGTATAATTAATAATACTCACTTGTACCTGGATAGGAGATGTACTTTTTTCGCAAACAACAGGAGAACAACTTTTAGTTGCATTTACATTTCCTGCAGTCACCACAGAAGTTTTAGGAGTTGCAACACTTGACTGATTATTTTGTTGTTGGGATGATTGTGAAGGCGACAACTGCTGCGGCTGCTGACATTGAACTTGAGGGACATTTTGAAACTGAGATGTTTGTGGTTGCAAAATCAGCAACTGAGGTTGCGTGATGGGCAAAGACTGCAGTGCTGAAGTTTGTGATGGCTGGGATGAGGGTGAAGTCTGTGGTCCTGTCGGTGTGGATGTAACAGGTTGTTGGGGTGCAGGAGTCTGAGAAGATAGCTGTTGATGTAACTGTTGTTGATGTTGCCGCCGCTGTAGAGGTTGTTGTTGTTGCTGCTGCTGCGGCTGTGGTGGCGGCTGCTGCAGTGCCGGCTGCTGTGCCGGCTGCTGCTGCGGTGGCTGCTGCGGTGGCTGCTGCTGCGGCTGTTGTGATGGCTGTTGCTGATGTTGCACCAGTTGCTGCTGAGATGGCACTAGTGTTGAGGGCTGAGATGATTGTGGTTGCTGTGAGAGTGATAAGGAAGACTGTAGGGCTACTAATGTGGCACCTCCTGCGGAGGAACTGTTGCTACTTGATGCAGAGGCTAACTGTGGAAGCTGAGCATGTAGCAATGCCAGGTTTCCTTGACCTTGAAGGAGAGTTACATTAGCAGCAACCTGCGGCTGTTGTTTGTCGATTCCCAGTGATGCCAGATTTGTGGTGGTGCTTGACTAGTTCAAACAACCATTGCCATTTTGAGTATTAGTAAATTGGTAATACTGTCATTGTAATCATCAAAGACAACATGCAAAAGCAACACTACATAAAATGATTAAAATTTATTGATGCTACTTGTAACAGAAGAAAACTATTGTGCATTCAGCAAAGATGCAATATTTACTATCAGGGATAATGTCATACGTTAAATAAAAAATGTTCATCAACCCTTTTCATATAATAATCTTTATCAATTATCATTACTGCAGTTGTGAGGTCACTAGTACTAGTGACCTCAAACTCCTAAATCACAGGTTCCATTTTTAAGCCAATGAGCTATTCTCAGTTCTTTCACTACAAAACCAATCACCTGCTGTCGCCGAAATTCACATGAAACCACACTCATTGCTGCCAAACTTCCTACTGTTGTTAGTTTCATAATCAAGGCAAAAAACGTTTCTGTGTTCTCGTATATAGCCCTATAACCCTTGACCAGACTAAATTAAGTTCTAATACATTTTATAGTGTTGTCAGTACTTAGTTCTTTCTATCCCATTTTGTTAGCATTCTCTGGCCCAGCATTTAGTAAGCTCACCCAGTTGTCTGGCCTAAAAAGGATGGAATTTCTTCAAACTCTCCCTTGTTATACACATTTAAAAAATAATCGCAATAAATAATCTCAAGTTGCAGAGCAATCAAAGAAGACAAGTTCATATTACCAAGCACTTCCAGATCTTTAAATTACCTCTTTTCTGTTTTATTGTTCTTCTTTAACGAAACAGAGATTAACAATAATAATGCATATATTTACTGGGGAGTACAAGTGAGAGTTTTTAACATGTAAAAACTAATTGAATAAAAAAGTGCTATCAAAATTAGAGTGTACAGAAAACATCTTTATAGATGTATGGTAATAACAGAAATGAAAATAGCAAAATAAACATAAAAAATTAAAACAAATTTAAAATAATTTGCACAATTTCCTTCAAATGCTAAGAGAACTCCTTGGATGTCCCAGTCCTGATTAAGCTTCGACAAAACTATATGTCACTCAAACATCCGATCTAGTAAGATAAAAAAAATCAATAAAGGCTATTGTGAAATAAAGATAAAAACACCATTGAGTGTGATGAGTCAATGATGCAAATTGATGACAAACTTAATAACGTGCCACCTGCCCACCAGAATAATAGAAAGAAAAAAGAAGAGAGAGAAAAAAAAGAGAGTTTCTTATAAGAGAGAGGGTGGAAGAGACATTTTAAATTTTAGGATACTTCATATTTAAGTATCCAAATCAGAAGGTAGGGCTTGATTTCACTTTATGTGTAATCTTACAGATATCCCTTTGGAATAAAAATTTTTAACATGTGTCTTAACTTCACAGTAAGGAATTTTCACACCATTTAAACCACACATCTAATACAAATCACATTCAAATGTCTATTCTCCTATCACAAGTAGCAAGAAATAAAATCATATATTAATCACATATATAAATATTAAAAGAAACAAGAGTATTATATAGTTATTTATCCCACACGTGACTAAAAGATATTGTTCTGTACAAGCTAGTTGATTATTAAAGAGGATAGTAGAGTGTGTGGATAATTATAGAGTACATAATGGTCTTTTAACAGTAGCGTAACGAAATCAGTGCCTGCAAAACGTTTATTCCTCCCCCTGGTTATAAAAGTGTATACTAAACCAGTCATATTAATACCCTAAATAATACAAATTTCCTTCAACAAAGTCATAATCATCAATTACTACATGGACAACCCCAAACCTTACACTCGCAACTCTTACTACTGCAAAACCCTCAGCCTCAATATAGGACCTCTTTTACCTGGGCCCGCACACATTGCAGGCCTGAACATTACACCACTGTCTTTTAAGATATTCATAATATACCATGCTTTATATTATTCAATCACCTTTTGAATGTTTTGACACATTTTCTATGAATATATGATTTACGGTACTCATAGGCATGCATAGATTGAGTTAACTTGCTCTCTTGCTATTTTTCAATAATTAAAACTAATTTTTCATTATTTATAAACTTTTAATTTTTGGAACAAAAATAAGTTTGAAAGTGCTCTCTAATAAATAACAAATGTCATAAATTGTAAAATAATAACATATTTTGAAGCCAAAATGCGAAGAAACTTTTGAATCTACCCTTGACAGGTGGATAATATCAACTCTAACCCTTCCCAAAACCCCCTACAATTGCACTAAAAATTGGTTGAAAAAAACTAAAAATGCTGAAAAAGACTACAAAACTACCACGAAAAAATGCAGTCAAGTCTGACATCTACAGCCACTAAAAATGTATTTTAAAAATTCAAAAAGAGACTGAAAATTTTGGTACATGTACAATGTTTTATGTACATAAAAAATTTCAATGAATATTAGACCTAGAAAAATTGTTTTGTTAAATAAAGAAAAAGTAATTTTGTGCAGGATATAACATGCTCAAATAATCCAAATGAAAGGAAAATATTGTTTTCTTAGAATGACAAGATTTTAAATGATAACTTGCTGAAATTTTAAAAATATGAACATTTTAAGTGTCTTATCTGTGTAACTTACTATATCTAAAATACTATCCTGGCACTTTTGCTACGCTTTATTATACAGTGAGACCATTCTATGAATGTGCTGGATGCGGGGAAATCGAGTTGGGTGGTATCATTGAAGATGGAAGACAGCCTTTTGCTACTGGAGAGCGTAAATTGTATTCACTTTACAGTATAGTAGGAGCTGGTACCCTCTGCTCTGTAGACATTGACATGTCCTAAACACGTTCTGGTTTACTCGGTAAAGATTGTTTTGTGGTATTACAGAGATCTGTTCCTGTATAATGTACCTAAATTATTTTTCCACGTGGGGACGTTTGGCATGTATGCAAGTTTTCAGGAATCCCTCCAGAAAGAAAGCGCACGGAATCAGGTCAGGAGAGCATGCAGGCCATAAAACATGTGTGATAATTCTGTCTCCATAAACGGGATCTAACACCCTTAAGGAAACTGAAGCAGTGTGCAGTGTCCTGTTGAAAATGACAGTAATTATGCTCATTTGTCAACATTGGAAGAAAAGTTGCAGAATGATGAACATAACTGTTTGATTTAGCATTTCTGTGAATAATGAGGGCCCAATTATTCTCTTGGTACTGATTGCACACCATATACCGACCTTTGCGTCATGTAGCAGATGTTCGTGAACGATGTATGGATTTTCTGTACTTACAATACCTGTTATTTTGACTTTTACATGGCCATTGAAATAAAACCACGCTTCATCAGAAATGAAATCTCAATCCATCACAAATATGCTTTTTGCAGGGCAAGACCTTGAAACACTCTCATCCTCAATGTTTCCAGGAAAGTTGAGCACGCCATTCCCCCCTCAATCTGTAGGCCGAGCAAGATTTCCCACGATGGCAGCAACTCATAAAAGTGTCGTATTGTATAAATGTCCACAGAGAAACAGAGCATCTCCCACCCAATATTGAACTATTATGAGAAATGGATCTGCATGACCTTGACATTCAGACTGAAGCAAAAATCTTAACGATACAGTTTTCAGAAAATATTTAGAAAACAATAAAATTTATTTCATTATACAATTAGACATCAATGAAAATGAATTGATTTGTCTTCTCTATTCTTGAATACCCTTTAAATAGAGCATAATAGAGTCTGATATTTATGGATTTTTCTAAGATATATTAATTGTTGTTTATGGAATTTCATTTATCATTATGGACCTTCAAAAACTTCAAATTTTAAAGGCTGTAACATTGCCCTCCATTCTCCTTTCAAATCTCCTCTTTCAATACTTGGATTAGATCTATGCCGGATCCACTTCCTTAGAAATAATATTTCTAGGTTTTCTATTGGTTTCCTTTTCATCAATTTGTATGAGTGTGCAGCTCTAAATATGTCTAAGTCTTGAGCTCTCTATTCCGCTAATGTACTGAAACCACTTAATCTTTTTTAAATTCAATGCATAGTTACTCTCTATTCATAATGGTTGAACTGATGTCGTTTAGATCTTTTCCTCCTTGTACATAAGACATCCCTCTTATGTACAAAATCCTCATTTACAATACTTGCCATAAGTTCTTTGCATACTTTTTTCAGTATTTCGTCTGACTAGGGATTTATTATGTTGGTAACTAGTTGTTCATAGGCATAGAGAGACAAAGACCCCATTGTTTTATAAAACATGATCCTGGCATCCTTGTGGGTTTAATTTTTTTGTTTTGTTCTGCTTAAGGATTGTAAACTAAGTAATTTCTTCTCAATACCATTTCAGCCTTTGTTATATCTCAGGCAACTAAAATTTAAAAATTATTTTATATTTTTATTGAATAGTACTATTTACTTAATATCTACAAGAATTATTTCATTTATTTAATAGTTATTACAATTACTGAGTCACATGGTTCTTCATTTTAGAATTGATCACATCATACTTCTTGCATATCTGATTCAGATATTGAAAGGCATGCTGCAAATTATTTTCATTTTCTTGTATTACAACAGTTTCATCAGCATAGTAGTAGATTTAAAATTCTTTGTGTTATTATTATGTTTCATTAACCAAAAAAATGTTGTTAATACACTGAAACCTGTATTAAGCAACCACTGTTAGTACCATGAAAAAGTTGTCTTCCAGAGAGGATAACGTTTTTTTTTTTGTTTTTTTTTTTTTTTAATCAAAAAGGGGCTATGTCTTTTATTTCTATTAACATTTTAAATGGTTTTTAGTTAATGTGTAAAAATTATTAAAAATAAAATATTTTGATGAAGTTTTAATTTGTCTTCTTAGTATACTTTGACAATGCCTTTTTAGACTCACTTGTTTGTTTTAGTTTTAGTATTCCCCGTGGTTGCCTACTGGCAACAAACTTCGTTTTTTTTGGGGTAGAATCAATGTCATTTGCGTATGCTTGGCACATTGAATTTCTGAGGATCCCTACGACTTGCTTTTCTTGTATTTCTTTGTTAAAAAAAAAAACAACACAAAGCAGTGGGACTTAGGTGAGTGCTAGGTACAGGTTCTGGACACAACCCCAAAACTTGCGTGTTAGGGGGCAAATCCATAACCTTGCCTTCAGAGAATGATTTTCTGTCTTACCAGATGTTTTTCCAGGAAAGAAAGGTAAGGCTCTGTTAATTCAAAGAACTAAATATTACATCACTTCCACATCTGCCGCCACATTAGAAAGAAGAAAGGAAACCGAAATGGAATAAGCAACTGTGGTACCACTGAAATGAAATAAGCAACTGTGGTCTCAGTATACTGATACATTATTCCCAGAATTTCGCCACTACCAGATTTTTTCAAGAATTGAAACTCGGGCCCAAAGAATGTCACATGAATGTCGTTAACAGTGTTCCGAATTTTCATTTCCACTGAAAATTTGATGAACTATATTCTTACAATTTCCTAAAGGTGTTCTCTTAAAAGCAGTAAATTGGTGGTTTAGAAGGTAGGTTTTCAGAGAGGTTTCTTTGTGCAAATATTCCAAAGATTAGATGCAATAGAACGTCCACTACAGAAACCCACCAACTTGTAGGTTGATAATTTTTTTTACTATTTTAGTATTTACCAATACGAACTAAAGGATGTGGCAGTTCAAGCAACTTGTCCCAGACCCTGAACAAATTTGCGGGGGTGGGGGGTGAATGAATACATACATATAGTATATACACACCACTAAATCACCATTTAAGATACTTGCCTTTTTACAAAATAATATCAATTTTAAAAACTATGAACATTAGAATCTTGTCATTCTAAGCTTCTAAAATACACATTTCTATATAAATTACAAAATCCAAAATTACATATTATCTTTGTCATTGTTCAATAAAAACAACCAACATTCAAAAGTTTAATTATGAACATTGTAATGTGAATGTATTTGTTTATAAATGTATATAATTCATTACAAATTGTACTTACAAACTGTAAACCTTGTGTAGATTGGCCAGTTACAGTTGGAACCACTTTTCCTGTAGTCACAATTCGCTGTTGGGTGAACAGCATATGAAGGGCAGCATCATCAGCTGGATTTTTCTTCGCCATTATGGATTGGATTTGAAAAGGAACTGCCTTCAACTGCTACAGAAAAAGTAAGAAAATGGTATGAGACTAATTAAAAATGTCTGCATTCAATGAAAATTCACAAACATTACATGTACAACATCACATACTCTTATAAGGTAAGATCTGTCAAATTGCCACATCAAATATGTTTACCCACAAATTCCCCAATTTAAATTTTGAGAGATACTGAAATTAAGAAAATATCTGTATTTAGTAACAAAATATTTTATACATTAATTGACTAAGCCCTAGGGCAGAACAAGACTAGTAATTATAATTGTTAAAAGGTAAAATTTATTAAAGTAAATTATCAACTCAAATATTTGGTTTAAGTTTCTTAAAGCACACACAGAAGGCATTAATGTAACTTCATTATTACTTTTATATTTAATAATAACCAAGGGTAGTTGGTTTTATTATTGTTAGCTCTGTGTAATCAAACTTATTAAAACTTCCAGACAATTTCACTACACTGTTAGTTTACTAACAAAAATATGAAAGCTTTGAATATACAGTCGCCATATCACAACTATAATTTACCTAATAAACTCAACTTTATGAACAAAAAATTTGAATTAAATAATAAATTAGACTTTATTGAAAATGTATAATATTATTCAATGAAACTTCAACATTAATATAACTTTACATTTTTACAACAACAATAAAAAAATAGAAAGTAAATATAAAAATTATTTTTAGATGTGTTGAAGAAATGGTTATTAATGTGGAGAGCCACAATGTTATATAGCATAACAAAAGGCACACGATATAAACACCTTTGAACTTAATGTTGACATTTTTAAATAAAAGGTGCTACAACAGCACACACTTAGTAGTATTATTGGTAATGGTTACTTTATATTATAATATTGCACCTCGATCCTACTTCAGTCAACACTTTAAAAACTCAAAATTAAGCAAAAACAACTAATATGTTGGAAAGGCATACTTCAATTGAATCGTTCATTTCAGAAACCCGTCAAATGCCAAAATCTGAAACACGCATTAACGACGGATTATAGTTCAAAGAGGACACACACATCATTTAGTACATATTTATAAGAAAAATATACATTTTTCAACTGCATTAATAAATAAAAATATTTTGAAATCCGAAAAATTGTGAGATCTTTTCTCACCTTCCTTGAAATGAGAAATTTGGCATTTGATGGGTTTCTAAAATAAACGATTCAATTGACTTGAAGATAATAAACATAGGAACAGATTGCATTAAGAAAGAAATATCTTGCTTCAATATTGAAGGTATAAAACTTGTCAGAAAAAATTTGAACTCTCAAAATTCAGAGGTTTTGAATGAAAATTCGACTTAATAATGTCAAATTATTAAGATCACTTCATTCTAACTGAGCAAAAAAAAGTTGAGATTTTTTTGGATAAAAATTTCTCTTAAATAGATGTAGTTGTAAGAAGAGGTTCAAAAAATGTTTCTTGACTTTTGCAGGTTTTAATAAAAATTCAAACTGCGCCATTTTTACAAGTGTACTTTCCTCTACTCAAACAAAAATAAAGAAAATCCATGGAGCTACTTATAAGAAAGGTCTGAAAATGTCCTAGGGGCTTCACAGTAAAGTACTATTAAAAATACTAAGATCAATTTCAAATTCAAGGGGCACCGGCATCATTCAGATTGATCTGGAAATAGCCGTTTAAATGAAAAGACTATGTATGGTTTAGGCACTAGTGTGGGTCAGACAGATATAAAACAAACACTTTACAGGACATGTATTTCCAGCAAAATCTCCACATTTTATAACATTACATAATTTTCTTTACCCAAAGGATATGAGAAAGTAAAAGATATAGATAAGTTCCTTTGGCAAAAATATAAATTTACAAGTCACATGAATATACGAGTTATTTTTCATTGTTAAGTATGGAATTACTTCTTAACAAGCAATGATTAGTTTTCAGCACATGAAGTAATTTCAAAAAACTAGTCACTAATCAAATGGACACTGAAATACAAAATGCAAGAACAGAAAGTTCACCACAAATTTATTCCTTCAACAGTTCAACATGAACACTTGACACATCAAAAAGGCTTATTAAAACACTATCTAGGATATTTTGATCTTGCAACCACCTAAATAATGAATAAACTTTCATGACAAAAATTTATTTCCCTTTGGGAAAAGAAACAAAGAAGTAAACAACGAAACTTTACATATCTCCACCTGTTTTGATGGTGCACAACTCACTGAAGCAGAAGTCGCACACAAGCATGAAAGGAGAGAGTGGACCTGATTATATCAATACAGACATCAGAATTGAAAACGAACCAGAACTGAGTGACTGCAAACAATGTAGGGCAAGGATTGGAAACCATGAAAGCTTCAAAAAGGACAGACTTGTAAAGTGTTTCTACTGAAACATCTAACATATATCTAATACGACAAATGATTCAAGGGAGTGATCACCTTCATATGATTACCTCGAAGGATTTTTCAATACCACAGCTAAATTTTGAACAAAGTATGCTACTACAGCACATACTGTCATGTATTATAAGTAACTTATGTAATATTATAATACTACTAGAACCTGCAAAACTATTTCACAGGATTGAACGCATAGATAAAAGGACACCCAAATGGGGACGGCAGGTGGTGGGCGGGGAGTGGGCGGCGCTGGAGGCTACCTACCTCAGGCCCTGACTTAATTGAGGCCCTTCAATTTTTTTTAAAATTCAAAACGAATAAAAATGTATTTATTTAAAATTCAAATTAACCACAATGTTATTTTTGTTGCATACAAAAATAAATTATTTATGTATTAGGAGGGAGTGGAGCTTTTGAAATAATTAATTTAGAGATAAAATGGATATTTTCCCTTAATCAAATCCGTTCTTTAAAGATAGATTTTGAAATAAGGTAATGTACAATTTTTCGAAAATCTGAGAACTTTTCGCCTAATTTTGCGTGAAAATACGGGCGAGAAAGCACGCGCTATTTTAACATTACTAATTTCTTTCTGGAGGTGTAAATTCTAGGCTAGTTGCGAAACCCAACGACGGTAAGAAAAGAAAACAAATGAGAATAGTATATATCAGTTTAATTTTAATACGAAGAATGCAATACTCTATACATATTTTACCCAACCGTGAGCGCTGGCCTGACGCTGGCCATTCGGACCAACTTGCCTAAAAAGGCTTCACGGTTTTTGCGAAGGCACTCAAATGCGTTGGCAAACGACATGAGCGGACGAGGGGGGTATGGTGAATTCTCACGGAAAATGTTCCTTTTAGAATAACTAGCCGCGAAGTTGCCCAAAAAATACGAGCATTCACGAACGGCTGTCGCTCTGGGTTCGCGTGCCATCCACGGTGCTCACACGGTGCGTTGGGGAAGAACTCCCGTAGTCACTCTCTCTAGCTCTAATGAAAACAAAGCTCATTTTATAGTGAGACAACGGGAGAAAATGAACTTGGCCCGTTTTGTGGGCCAATGGATATTCTCAACCCAAAATTAAGTGTGTGCTTGCCTTCTGGTGAATTTCGGCGGGTGGGTGATTAATTCATGGCGTATTACGGGTGTTGTGTGATATAATAACTGCAATAATTGCTTGAATTTAGAATTTGTGAAAAACATTGTTCTCATGGACAGAGAATTAGAGCAGAAGATTTGCGCCATTCCATTCAAACGGTTGTCGTTTCAACAAAAATTTGAAACCGCTAAGGCAGGTAAACTTCAGCCATCTCTTACCAGCCAGCTCATTATATATGTATGTATGTATGTATATATACGACGTAGGTTTTGCGGAAATACGAACGGGCGCACTAGTCTGTATTCGTGCTACGTCAGAACTGGTGCTCTGCGGCCGCAGTCATTAGAGAAACGGTGGATGCGTTCCGTTTTCTTGAAAGCAGACAGTACTCATTAATGGCACGATGATTTGCAAATTTTTCTTCGTGGATTGGTTGAATATAATTTCTCGTGATTATTCAATATTTTTAAAATATCAAAGCTCTGTAGCTAATGTAATATCATTGATTATAATTATTAATTACGATCACAAAATATGTACGAAGATGATTAGTCTCTTAACTTTCAGTACAAAATTGCATCCAAGAAAAGATAGCCAGATATTAAACTTGGGATACTCCATGGAATTTTTCGGTATCAAGGATCCACAAAGCATGGATTCTAGCTAAACTACATATTAGAGAAAGTAATTTACTCTATATAGGAACAAGAATTTTTTTTTGGTATGCATCACAAAACAATTTCTGTTGAAAAATTGGCATGCTTCACTGCAGTAATACAATACTTTCTGTATTCTGTTAGTATATGAGAAAGTAGAAATGGACATACAAAAATCAGGAACTTTTGGAGACGATGTTGCGTGACAGCCTCCCTGATAGCTACGACACTTCGCTGTGCAATCGTGGTCTATTACAACTGACAAATCTAGGATAATTTAAAATCCTAAATCATTGAAAAACGCACAAATGAAAAGTGGGTCATACTAAAACGTAGCCATGTTTAAAAATCGAGCAGTGTTCGAAGCGATCCAAATATGGCAGCACTCAAGTCCAACAGCGCACCACTAGAAATACACAAACGCAAAAACAGAAACCGAAAATGAACCTTCTGCGGAGTACCAAGACATCAGGAGTCCAAGTGCCATTTCTAAAAGAAACTAATCTAGCACACAGTTGACAAGGCAGACAAGGCCCACTGTTGCTACTACAAGCGCAATGAACACTCCCTAATTCACACGACACATACACGAGGTGTATCGACATAAACTTTTCATTTATGCTTCGATGAACACCCATTCACGTGTGCAGAAGAAACGCGTAATGACTTGAAATTGCAAGTGTCACCAAGTCACGTTTAGATGTGTCATGTGTTTCGAAATCGAAAAGAAAGACAGAACGAAAAAAAATTATTACGTCGAAGAACACACATACACACATTACATATATATATCCCTGGCCTACGAATCAACATCTCCGACTTGGAGATGGTGGACAACGACCATGCAGTTAC